TGGGAAGTAAAGAGTGAGTCTCTACATAAACCATGTGTGTATATCAGGGCAGGTACAAGCAACGGCTGCGTTCACTGATAAAGTCACTAGCTACAGAAACTCAAGCAGAACACGTATCTGTGGTGGATAATGCCATACCTGTAATAGGTAAATTATTAGACATTGATCTCCATTACCTCACATAAAACAAATTAATTATAACAAAAATGTAGTCATCACCCTGTATGTTCAGACAAGGAAACTCTCTCTGTGCCCTCCTTTCTCTGCATCCTCAAATGCACTATATATGCCTTCCTTCCAAAAGGTGGTGGTGGGGTAGCCTAGTGGTTAAAGCGTTCGCTTGTCACGCCAAACACCTGGGTTCGATTTCCCACATAGGTACAAAATGTGAAGACCATTTCTGGTGTCTCCCACCATGATATTGATGGAATATTGTTAAAACTGGCATGAAACTAAATTCACTCACTCGCGCCTTCCAAAAGTAATGTTTCAGGTGTATTAAGTCAATGGACAGTTTTGACTGCAGAACAGTTTCTTCACAAAAAAGAGAGTAAATGTTTTAAAAAATACTCAAATGTATTCCACCCTATTCATAATTTTAAACACATGGATGACACTCTCATAACTAATTTGTCATTGCCCAAGCAACTAGAGTCACTTGTAATCTAGAATATGTGAGTCTTTATTTTGGCATGGATACAAACACCGATTCCCTTGACTGTAATTTGGCTTGAAGCTATGTATGACTAATACACACACATTGAGATGCCATTCACCCAAAATATCCATAATGTACTGAGGGAAACAAATAAGGGAGCAACACTTCAATGCAGTGTTCCTTTATATATTCTCTGATTTTCATTGACAGTGAGATACAATGCTTGCGAAGAAACCTGGAAAAGAATAAGAAACACTTGTGCTTTCATGTGTCCCTTATTTGTTTCCCTATTTTGAGACAAAAATAACCACGTACACATATACACTGCTGGAATGAGGTCTTATCCTCAAGTTTATTCAGACATGACATCAGAAATACCTTTCAGCATTGGTGCCCACAGTAATGTGTTTGTCAAGCAGTGCTTTATCAGAGCACATAAAGAAATACGGGTCAATGGAGTTGCGGTAACAACTGGTCACTGCTTGACCCGACGGTGGCCAGTCAGATCACTGTGTCCACACGTACTTGAGAAAGAGCAAACTGACAATAATATACTTACAAGCATAAAGAATACTGTTTGTTGCTGGTTCTCATAAATGAACAGTGGGGTCTGTTAAATGGCCATACACGAGGCAATAACCTGATACTTATGGATGACATCTACATGATCTGAGCTTTACACTAGGTTATATAGCAGATGATAATGAGCTGTTTATAAAGGTCTATCATGAAGCATTAACACTACATTGAGTTCTCAGCCACTGTCAGTCAGACTCAGCAGCTAACACAAAACTTGGATTGGCACTTTTAATGGAATAAGGTTCCTTATGTGTGTATTTACAAAACACATTGTATTGGGACATTCAGGAAGGATCGGACGACAGATTATTTATTTTAGTTAACAGTTTAGTGTTAGTGTAATTTTGGTCAATATTTTATTTTATTTATTTACTTCACTTACACTAGAGACGATGCTGTAATATGTCCATAACACTAAGACTATGATATCTGATGGCTATGTTTTGGCACTGTTTCAAGCTTTAGAGTATCAACACTCTGATAAATATTGTAAAGAAGAAAGTCACCACAACCTGAAACTGACATGTTAGTTTGGTGCCATGAAGGGTAGGACATGGAGGACTGAATGATTAACTTTGTGATCCACCCTTACATAGTTCATACTTGGAATAAGAACAAGGTACTGGAGCTCACCTATCATGACATCTAGTAGTAACTAGATTGAATGTGGTGTTATGCCCCTTTTAGCAATATTCTAGCAATATCATGAAATGGGCTTCACACATTGTACTCAACTGGGAGTCAAACCCGTGTTTTCGGCGTGACGATCAACACTTTAACCACTAGGCTATCCCACCACCCCTGCTAATCTTGAGGATGGTTCCAGTGAAATCATCTACATTAACTTATTTTGAGACTTCAATGTGGATGCTAAGATGATTGTAGCTCCAAAACTATTACATTCTGTATTGACTTAGGATAACTGTAGCATACAATTGTTTCTAGAAAGGGGCCCTGACATATGGTGACAAGAAATCATGTAGTTATGTCTCTTGTTTATAAGCATTCCCAGGTGTTGCTACATCATGACAGGCCTTTCAGGTTAATAGGATGGGAACAGGTCAAAAGGGCCCCAAAACGGAAAAGTCAAAAGGGCCGCAAGAAAGTCAAAAGGGCCGCAAACCCCTAGTCAAAAGGGCCGCATCAAAAAGTCAAAAGGGCCGCATCAAAAAGTCAAAAGGGCCACATAAAAAGTCACTAGGGCCTCAGACTCCAAGTCAAAAGGGCCCAATATCAAAAATATTATAACATCTTTTTTTAAAAGTGTATTATAGTAAAAGGTTATACATCTACATTTCAAATATTGAAAAAAATATCTTATAAAAACAGAACTAGTATGTACATTGTATAGATGTATAACCTTTTCCTATAATACACTTTTTAAAAAAAAAAGATGTTATGATATTTTTGATATTGGGCCCTTTTGACTTAGAATCTGAGGCCCCTTTTGACTTTTTGATGCCCTTTGACTTTTGATTGACCCTTTGACTAGGGGTTCTTGGCCCTTTTGACTTTTCCGTTTTGGGGCCCATTTGTCATGCGGCCCTTTGACTAGGACCCAATAGGATCTGGGCTATCCTGCTTTCACTGCGTATGAGATTCAGAAATATTAAATTTCAAACATGTTAAAAAACAATTAAATTTACATTTCAACAAATTCCAAACATACCAAATGGGAAATAAATGCAAATGAGTGGATAAGATATTCCACACAACTGTATAAATTTTAACAGGAATTTAGAAAATGATAAGAGATGAAAGTGTTCATGCATAGGGTGAAACACTCCTGGTAATGCTAAAGATTACAAACTCAGATGGAAGAAAAACTTGGAAAAGTTGGACTGAGGAAAAAGAATATCCAATATTTCCACCTGAAAAGGACTGTAGAGTCTATTTTTGACAAATATAGCACAAATAAATAAAAATAAATAGTGACAATATGCCAGATATTGTTGGTCCTAAAATATAGAAGTGGACTCAGCCAACGCCATGTTTGCATGTACAACAGATTTCTCAAGATAATTAATCTTTAAGTGTACCACAAAAATAGAATTTTTATGAAATTGTTCATAATCCTGTTCAGTGATTGCATGTTTCAGTCACGAATCAATTTACAAGATGAAAAGAAATATTTTATTACAGGTCAAAATTATAAGTTGTAACATTTTCAGAGCCAATACTTAAAAAACTATTGATTTCACAGGTAAGACTTAAGAGATACACAATGCCATTTTTAGAAAGTGGTCAAATGTAACATATGTTATATTTGGGATTACACTTCCTCAGTAAAGTACAGATTCTAATACTATTTTTCTATTTTTTTACATTTTTTATTTGGTTGAGTCCCATCCAGGATTCGAACCCGCACCCTCAGAGTCAGGCACCTTGTGTGCTGGCGATTAGGTGTCTGACTCTGAGGGTTTGGGTTCAAATCCCGGATGGGACTCAACCCCCCTAAAAAAGTACTAGAATCTGTACTTTACTGAGAAAGTGTAATCCCAAATATAACATATGTTACAAGGCTTAAGAGGTTGAATTAGGAGTGATCTCAAAATCAATGACGAAATGACTTGTGGTATTTTGGTTCGAATCCTATATCAGGAAATGTTTCTGAAATGTTCATACAAGTATGACAGGTACAGGCAGATGCTTGTAAACAATTACCAGAGAAAACACAGGTTATTACAATGTTTGTACAGACATACTTCAGTGGTAAAAATCCTTATAAAGTATATACTAACCTATCTTAGCAGAGGTACAGACTGTTATACACTACATGTATATATTAACTGAACTCAGTCAGTTGGGGTACTGGTTGTTTCACACTATATATTGACCTATCCCAGTGGAGGTAAAGATTATTTGAAAGATTAAGAAAAAACTCCTCAAAGATGACACAGACTTCATGGTACCATTAGGCAAAGTTACAACAGGCACTGCATATCAACAGAGGTCATCATACCAATATCACAAGCCTCCTACAGCAAATGATGACATCACACAAGGTTTCTAAGTGCTTGTAATAAATATAAGTTTGCATAACTTGAGCGTAAGTGCTCAAAACGACAAACCACAAGAAAACTTACCCTTATTCAAATCACATGTAAGACACCTCTCAGTGGAACACATTGTCGATTTCGATTAATTTCAAGATTTTCATTTTAACCGATTTTTTTCAATTGTTTTTTTAACATATAAATGACAGGTTCAGTTGAGAACTTCCCTAGATCAACAAGTTATATGACTTGTGCAAATGTTTGCTTCACACTGGTGAGAGAGCCTTCCTTATTATCAACAGCATGCTCCAAAAGCCACAAAAATTTGCTTCTAAACAAAAAATTAAAAATCAACAAAATGAGATTATTGAATTAAGCCCGGTGTGAGAGCACACAGATTGGGTTTCTGGTTGGTAGTGTTGCCTGCAAAGACTGGCGCCAGTGGGGCCATATGACAGATATGGTCACTTGTGATTCACATAATCGCATGTAGCTGCTACTGTTTGAGAACACTGCGCAATGAAAGATCAATAGACGACACACATTTCCTGGTCAGCCGAGCCCGCTGTACTAACATCAAAGAGAAGGGGATGTCAATTACAAACCTGAAACTTTCATACCAACCTGCTCCAATTTCAGACCTGCCTGCCACAACAAGCTACAACTTCATGAATAGAGTGTTAATTGAACCTACACAGAACAACAAAAGCATCAGAACACCTCCAATGGCCCTGTAGGAAGAAAAGACAAAAATGTTAAAAACTTACCAAATTTGACTCAGCACTTGCAATGGTAATCCAGATTTAAGAAACACATCCCTTGCTCTTTCAGCTGAAACATCAAAGATGTGTTGTTCATAACTAATATTATACACTGGAACATTAAAGAAATGTTTTGCATGCCAAATGTTATACAACAGAACATAAAAGATATGTTGTTATAACGAATGTTATACAATGGAACATGAAAGATATGTTGTATATAACTAATGTTATACATTGGAACATTAAAAATATGTTATTTATACCTAATGTTATGATAGATATAATGGACAAATGGTACATTTACCACATACAATATTGGTCATGTTGGAAATTGTTCACGACATTTATGCATCATTTTATTCTCTTCTCTATTTCATCACATGTTTTGTTACATCAACCATGAAACAATTATATGAGGAATTTATTCTACAGCACTTCCTGATAATTAACAAAATTCCACTTTTTGTAAATTCATTCCACCAAAAATTCAAACCTACTAAACAACATAAGATGCAGTAAATATGTGGCTATTTTGCTCAGTTTGCAAATTAGCAGAATGAAATTATTCCATCTAGGTTATCTTGGCCTGGGAGATTACGAATGTTATTGATTATTCATTATCGCCATATCCATGACAGCAATATGTTGCGCTGACCCTGACAGCTATGTACAAGGTGGGGAGGAAACAGCTGTAGCAGCATACCTCGTCACACACTCCACCGACAGCTGTCAGTCATTATGTAATGTACACACAGCTCCTTAGTATGTACTCTCATTATCGGAAGGTCTGGCTGCAGTGTTGAGGGACAGTTTCTCAGACTTGGGTTCTCAGATGGTGTCCTCTATCACACATTCTGGGAAGGTCTGATTGTAGTGTTAGACTTGGGTTCTCAGATGGTGTCCTCTACCACACATTCTGGGAAGGTCTGGTTGCAGTGTTGAGGGACAGTTTCTCAGACTTGGGTTCTCAGATGGTGTCCTCTACCACACATTCTGGGAAGGTCTGGTTGCAGTGTTGAGGGACAGTTTCTCAGACTTGGGTTCTCAGATGGTGTCCTCTACCACACATTCTGGGAAGGTCTGGTTGCAGTGTTGAGGGACAGTTTCTCAGACTTGGGTTCTCAGATGGTGTCCTCTACCACACATTCTGGGAAGGTCTGGTTGCAGTGTTGAGGGACAGTTTCTCAGATAGTGACTTGGGGGTTCTCAGATGGGGTGTGGTGTCCTCTACCACACATTCTGGAAAGGCCTGGTTGCAGTGTTGAGGGACAGGACTTGGGTTCTCAGATAGTGTCTGGTTGCAGTGTTGAGGGACAGTTTCTCTGACTTGGGTTGTCAGATGGTGTCCTCTACCACACATTCTGGGAAGGTCTGGTTGCAGTGTTGAGGGACAGTTTCTCTGACTTGGGTTGTCAGATGGTGTCCTCTACTACACATTCTGGGAAGTGCTCTGGAAAGGCCTGGTTGCAGTGTTGAGGGACAGTTTCTCTGCCTTGGGTTGTCATGTCCTCTACCACACATTCTGGGAAGGTCTGGTTGCAGTGTTGAGGGACAGTTTCTCACTTGGGTTGCTGTACATTCTGGGAAGCTCTAAACAGTCGTGCCGAATGACAGTTTTTCAGGCTTAAATCTGTTTCTCAGATAGTGTCCTCTACCACACATTCTGAGAAGCTATCAAAAGTAGTGTTGAAAGACAGCTTCTCAGAGTTCCATGTTTGCACATGAAAGAACTGCCAAAGAAAGCCCTACAAATTTCAAAATACACTAAATTAACATTATAGCAACTCAGAGGGACAATTAATGCTAGTTTGTTACTGCTGTAGTTTGACAAAGACTATACAGCAAGGGTTTGTTATATCCATCAGTGTATTCGTTATAAACGTAGTAATTTAACAGTAATACTTTTGCTATGCATAAATCCCCTCCCAGCTGAGTTGACACCTAGCCTACTGTGGCTGTGGGGGAAACATCACCTCTCCACTGCAATTAGATATTCCAGGTGTGGGTCACACATGAAAAAGATTACATAATGTCTTCCGAATGTTACACTTGAACTGTGGCAGTGTTGCTGTGGATCAGTAACAATCACAGAACAGGACTTACCACATGACAATATTGAGGGGAAACTTAACTACGATATACGACATTCAGTATCATGTCACTGGCGTACACAAGAGGACTGTACAGGTACAGGGACATCTGTTCACGTTAAGGACATTGATTGCAATTTCTTTTGAAAACTCCTTAAAATTGTTCAAAACAATAATTTTTCCAAACATGTTTTACCAAAACATCAATTATTTGTTGCCCTAAACTCATACACTCAGTCCACCTCAGATAATCGGGTTCATATCTTAGCAGCCATTGTGACCTTCAGGAGATTGCAGACCTGTTACAATACGGATGTTCTATATCAGTGTTGAATCATTGTGTTGAACCAGTGGCTGAGTTAATGACTTGGGCTGCATCTAGTGGTCAGTATTTGTCTGCTGCAGGATACTGCCAGCATTGCACAGAATCTAACATTTAGGGTAAGAACACACACAAACACAGCCAGTCTCCATCAGAGTGTTTATCATCACCACATGGTCCCCATCCTTGTACTGCCTCCAAACATTGCCATGGACCACTCACTATTCCATTATTCCTCATGCTTTAAGAAGCAGCGGGGGTGGGGTGGCCTAATGGTTAAAGTGTCTGCTCATCAAGCTGAATACTCTGGTTCGATTCCCAACATGGGAATAATGTGAGAAGCCCATTTCTTGTGTTCCCCGCAGTGATATTGCTGGAATATTACTAACATCGACGTAAAACCATACTCACTCACTCACTCAGTTGTGTGATAATGTACCAACAACATCTGTGTCTACTTGGCTCTAGCATCAGTTTTACTACAGTTAATGTTAGTATGGACTATCATCATTCTGTATGACGGCCCAAATAACATTTTACTGGACTCAGATTTTAGAAATGTTAAAATTTCAGACTGTAAAGCTGTCCATTGCCAGAGGAACATCCTATCACATCCCACGGCTGTGCAGTACCCACCATGGCCTGCAGTGGGGAGGGTGATGTTAAACACCACAAGGTGTGTTCCTCAAGGAAAGAGTTACCATGGAGAGCATGAAGTGTTTTTGAGCTGTCACATACCTGTCAGGTAGCCATCCAGGGGTCCCTGGCTGTAGAACAGTGTTTCATGTTGGATGCGTTCTTCTGGCGTGATCTTCGACCACTCTGAAACAGGAACAGACATTGTAGAAAGTTCTGTCACCACAATTAACTATTGTAATATTTTAGTTCAGAATTTACAAGGTTCTTTTCACAGCTTTTCATTTATGAACTTACTTATGGTTAAAATGCCCAGAACTGAGTTTGGTGAAAATGATGAACAGACCCACGTAGTCCAGTGTTCATGGTAAATGAGGAAATGTTTTTTTCAGGGCTCAATGACCTACATCCCCTGACTATACGAAACCATAATAACTAATTCATTGATGGTCACACTGGTCACAGTTTAAAGTGAACTATTCTGAAACCATGGTTATCTGTGGTGCTGAGATAATCCACTAAGATTAAAAACTTCCCCAGAGTAGTGTTCTCTAAAGGCACTATATCACACCACATTTCTCTAAAAATAGATAATGCATTTCTCTCAATAATACTAACAGCCTTCAGGGAAGCTACCAAATATTTTATTCCCAAAACAATTACATATTTAGATTACAATATTGAATTAAAAAGTTCTAATGAATTAATGCTATGTTGCATTAAACCGAACCTCATGCCCTCTACCGGCCAAACATTATTTCAAGCGAACTCCATAGAGTTATGTCCCTTGGTGCACTCTTTACAAATATAATACTCACAACTTGTGATTAAAACCAGTTCGGCAAACACCAACAATAAAGCGTGCGACAGTTTTCAATGTACGGAGCAATTGTTTACATTCCATATATGGCAAGTGTTCTCTGTTGGGAAGCTCTTCACCTCGAAGTTTCAATTATCGATTTCAGGCAAGCTGTAGGGGATAATAAGTCTTTTATTACATTAATGGGAAACTAAAGTGCCTCAATATATATAATATAGGCCAAAATATGGTCGAAAATGTGTGACATTGTGCCTTTAAATTTCTGTCATAATAACTACAAACAGATTCATCCATGTTTATCACAGTATCTTCTGAACATGCAAATAAATGACCACTACACATGCTATGGCGGTGATCACATAATGAAATGCACATGCAAACAACTGTCATACAACACATGAAAAGCACATGCAGACAACTGTCACACAACATATGAAAAGCACATGCAGACAACTGTCACACAACACATGAAAAGCGCATGCAGACAACTGTCACACAACACATGAAAAGCACATGCAGACAACTGTCACACAAAACATGAAAAGCACATGCAGACAACTGTCACACAACATATGAAAAGCGCATGCAGACAACTGACACACAAAACATGAAAAGCACATGCAGACAACTGTCACAAAACATGAAAAGCGCATGCAGACAACTGTCACACAACATATGAAAAGCGGATGCAGACAACTGTCACACAACATGAAAAGCACATGCAGACAACTGTCACACAACATATGAAAAGCGCATGCAGACAACTGACACACAAAACATGAAAAGCACATGCAGACAACTGTCACACAACACATGAAAAGCACATGCAGACAACTGTCACACAACACATGAAAAGCACATGCAGACAACTGTCACACAACACATGAAAAGCACATGCAGACAACTGTCACACAACATATGAAAAGCACATGCAGACAACTGTCACACAACACATGAAAAGCACATGCAGACAACTGTCACACAACACATGAAAGCACATGCAGACAACTGTCACACAAAAACATGAAAAGCGCATGCAGACAACTGTCACACAACATATGAAAAGCATGCAGACAACTGACACACAAACATGAAAAGCATGCAGACAACTGTCACAAAACATGAAAAGCGCATGCAGACAACTGTCACACAACATATGAAAAGCGGATGCAGACAACTGTCACACAACATGAAAAGCACATGCAGACAACTGTCACACAACATATGAAAAGCATGCAGACAACTGACACACAAAACATGAAAAGCACATGCAGACAACTGTCACACAACTCATGAAAGCACATGCAGACAACTGTCACACAACAACATGAAAAGCGCATGCAGACAACTGTCACTAACAACATATGAAAAGCGCATGCAGACAACTGACACACAAAACATGAAAAGCGCATGCAGACAACTGTCACAAAACATGAAAAGCGCATGCAGACAACTGTCACACAACATATGAAAAGCTGGATGCAGACGACAACACACAACATGAAAAGCACATGCAGACAACTGTCACACAACATATGAAAAGCGCATGCAGACAACTGTCACACAACACATGAAAAGCACATGCAGACAACTGTCACACAACTCATGAAAAGCACATGCAGACAACTGTCACACAACACATGAAAAGCACATGCAGACAACTGACACACAACATATGAAAAGCACATGCAGACAACTGTCACACAACACATGAAAGGCACATGCAGACAACTGTCACACAATGCATGAAAAGCACATGCAGACAACTGTCACACAACACATGAAAAGCACATGCAGACAACTGACATGCAGACAACTGTCACACAACATATGAAAAGTACATGCAGACAACTGTCACACAACGCATGAAAAGCACAAACCACACGAAAACCTATTTGCTCAGCTATTTTTATTCACCTTTGCTAATTCCCTAAGTTCTGTACTAGGTATCTCAGCTAATATTTCTCACCCCCATTGATTGAAATAAAGTTCAAGTGCAAGTCTTGGAATCCATGATCAAAGAAACCCCTGTAGTGAAATGTATGGCGTCTACAGCAATATTGACCAGCACCTTCTTCAGTAAGACATGACAGTGCCCTGTTTAGAGATGATGTACCTGAAGTACCCAGCATAATAACAGTTGAAGGCTGCCTGGACAAACATCAGTTTCTATATACATCCATTGTGCTCAGTCAAGTTTGTTTTCAAGATGCTTGTTCGTGCTCTGGTGATTTTAACAAAAGAAATGTATGTGAGTGATATTTTAAAGGGTGTTATGAATGAAGACCTTGCATACTTGGGACATTCTACAAGGCCGCCCTGCAGGGGTGCCTTTACAAGCAGGATGGGTAGAATGTTGAATGATATCTGGGTTAGATGTAATATACACCGCACACACAATGACACAGGTTATGGGTTATACAGGGAAAGTGCTTCATTTTTTTACATTCAAGGAAGTCTATTCACATGTCATTAAATACATATATGTCATAGACCTTTTTGTCCTGATATATCTAAATTACTAAGCTAGCTGTTAATATTTACACTTAAAACTCATGGACAAAAGAGTATTTTCTTAAAAATTGTATCAATATTTTTGTCACCAAATTTATGACGAAATATTGAATTCATTCACACAATATTGTGCACATTCTTGTATATACACCAGGGGCAGAACAGATTCTCATTGCAATGCATTTTGTAAAGCATAATAAAGATACAATGTATGACCTGTGTATATCCCTATTATAGAGATGGGTATTCATTATATCATTGCTTTGTAATGCATTTTGTCAAGCATAATAAAGATACAATGTATGACCAGTGTATATCCCTATTAAAGAGATGGGTATTCATTATATCATTTTGCTTTGTAATGCATTTTGTCAAGCATAATAAAGATACCATGTATGACAAGTGTATATCCCTATTATAGAGATGGGTATTCATTATATCACTGGTTTGTAATGCATTTTGTCAAGCATAATAAAGTTAAAGAGCTTACAATGTATGGCCAGTGTATTCACGTATCCCTACTATGTAGATGGTGTTCATCATATCAACCATATGATATAATGAGGATATACAGGCAGGCAGTGTGTATATTACTGACTTTGGCATGGAATAACATACTGCCACTCACTTAATGATAAAAACATACTTCAATGAACTTCTGAGCACAAGTAAAATTCTTATGTCATAATGACCACTATTAAAACAACTTTTTCTCAATGTTACTTGTTTTGGGGGTTTGTTTGGTTGTAGTTTAACACAGTCAACAAATTCTGGATATATGATGACAATCTATGATTAACATACCGGTTGGTTGTTTAACGCCGCACCTAGCAATATTCCAGCTATATGGTGGCACTCTGTGAATATTGGAGTCTGGAACAGACAATCCAATGATCAACAGCATGAGCATCGATCTACGCATTTGGGATATGAAGACATGTGTCAACCAGAGCTAGCCTGACCACCTGATCTTGTAATTCGCCTCTTACGCCAAGAGTGGGTTACTGAAGATCAATTCTAACCCGGATCTTCACTGGTTCAACACATCGGTAGACAAGAAAAAGAAAGCGATTGATTTAACCCAGACAACCAAGTCATCAAGCCATACAAACTCAATCAACTAAATCACCTTCATCAAGGCATTGTTTGACTGGAAGCTGATGAGAACCCTGAAGAGAACACCAGATGCAGTCATACACGTGGGCCTTGGCCAGAGGAAGATATTGATGATGGGACTGTGCAGGAACAGCATGCTGCCCAGTTTTTCACCCTCCAAAGTGCCCACCCAATCCCCTTTTTATTCAACTACAGATGAAAATGGAGGATTAATCGGGATAGCTACCCCAGAAGTTTAGTAAACAGATTCAGGACAGCCTTGTCTTCTAGCTGATAATGTGCCAGTCTGTCAAGAGACTGTAGGTGGGTGGTTTGATCCAAAGATTAGAAAGAAGGACCTCTGTGGTGACAACAATGATTCAGATGGATACATTAGAAATGTCATATAGTTTACTTCAAGAGATAGAGGACAGCTGGCAATGGAATCCCAGCCGACAGTTTAGCAAGGGAAACTGGGTTCTGGGTTTGGAATGTTGCTGGGCTTCTATAATAATAAAACAGACAATAAATACAGTCCTTACCATGCTTACTCATGAATGAATAACCTTCTTTATATTCTATGCCACCATTACTCAGCTATGAAACTGTCAGACAAGATTTACAACAGTTCAGTTATATTAGGCTGACAGACTTTGGTATTCCTGACCATTGTTTCAGGACAGAAACATGTCAGCCCAGATTGTGTCTATTCTCGACCTTGTCCTTCATTGCACAACTGTGTAAACAAGCTGACAGT